TTATATCACACCCTTCTCTCTCATTCATCAAATATATGTTTTTTTCATTATAACCAAAACATAACCAGTTTTACTCTTCAACCCAAGAGTTTCGATTATCTTCAATCCTCATAATCTTCTTCCAGCCCCTCGTTATCTATCACACAATTTCATTATCCTAACATTTTAAATATAATTTTCAAACTTCTTCAAATAAAGGGTCAATTTTATCTATCCTTCTTATCCTCATAATTTTCACACACATTATTCTTTATAACCATTTAACAGTAACCCTCTACAATACAATTTTAACCTCTTCAAGTCAGGGGCCAATCGTTGTCTATCCTCCTCATCCTCTTCACTCCCTGGTACCTCTTCTTTCACACTGTATTTGTCATAACCATTTTAACGATGAAAATCTACCTTGTGTTGCTCTCGAGCCTTGTATTGGGTGAATTTTAGTATGAGGACAAATTTCTATTTTTTAGGTTCAAACCAGGTGGGATGAATTTTAAGTTGATGTATCCAGGCACCCGCAATGATATTATCACGGCGAAGCAGATGGCTGACCTGATCCGCAGTTACAAATTAGGAATTGCGACAATCGAAGGTAACATCGTCTACCAAGTCGGAAATTTCTTTCTCATCTTGGAGACGATGAATTTTACGGCGCAAGCGGCTAACAAAAGCGAAGAGGAAGTGAATTTTGTCACGCCACCCCTGCCGACGACACCTCAACCAATCGTTTTTGGTAAGTCGATTTACAAGTTAACAATCTTACACTCACTTGCTCACTCCCATCCTTGGTAAGACGATAAACTACATCCAGCAGCAAGGCCTCTGATCAGGAGGTTTTGAGGGGCATGGAACCATCTCTTAATTGCTGATGTTCACAGGTCCACCCTGTGGAACTCCCTCCCCTCTTCCTCTTTTGTTGATAGCTATAATCTCCAACTATTCAAATGTAATGTCAATCGACGTCTCCAGATGCCTTGATCTATCCCCTATCCTTCTCTTCATCCTTTCCTCTATCACTCCTATTTGGTTTCGCTCCAACTCTCTGTAATCCCTTGCATGCTAGTGGCTTCCCGCCTTGCTTGGGGTGAAATGATTAAAAAAATTATTAAATTTGATGAAAATTGGTCGAAAGATCAACGAAAAATAAGAAAGAAACCAGTAAAAATCGCCATTTTTCGCTATTTTCGCGGTTTTTCACTATATGGATGGACTCACTTATCAAGTTAAATGACTGTTAAACAATCAACTTGTTGTTGGCTACAATTGAGTGAAGTTTGTATTAGACTGCTTGAAAACTGAGGGAGATTTTAGTTTAAAATTTGTGTTGAAATCGATTTGTGTTGAAATCGATTTGTGTTGAAATCGATTTTTCGTTTTTCGCTGTTTTTTTTCTAAACGCGGTGGCGAAGAAATTAAAATGATGTAAGTAACCTACATACAAAGTTTGAACAAAATCGGATGAAAAAAAGTTGAATTTATCGATTTTTGATCGGCTGTATCGATTATTGTTTTTTTTTTTAATTATCGATTTTTTACGCTAAGAACCTATCTCTTACATTGTACAATGCATGTGCCAAGTTTGGTTTGGATGGATCTCGTTGAATCATTAATTATACAAAAAGTGTGAGAATTCCGCTTGGACACAACAACGAACAAGTAACCGTGATCAAAGTTTTACGGAAAAGCCGAAAACTGAATACTAACTTAACGAGACGAACATTTAATGAAATAAAAAAGAAAAATAATGACGTAATAATGTCGTTTTGTGACGTATTTTTTTAACCTCAAAAACGACATTATTACGTCATTATTTTTGCACCAACCTAATAGATAGGCTCAGAGAAGCTAAAAATTAGCTTACTAAACTCAGAAGTTTATCTGTTAATAAATATTTTTCCCGATATCTATTTTTACGACAGAAAATAATATTTATCATTTTCTGGCGCGATATATAAATTTTTCTATTAGAAAACAAATATGATTGGCTGAAATTTCAAAGGCTTCAGCGTGTTTGAAATGGCGTCGCTGATTGGTTAATAAATGAGGAGCCTGTGTTTTGCTCAAAAATGAATTTTTGGTGATCTTACTTAAATCTAGTGAATTTTGCTGCAATTTGTTAACGGGGTTCCATATATATATATATATATATATATATATATATATATATACCATATACGCCACCTGGATGTTTTCCATAAAAGCTGTCTGCCTACCATCTGTGGAGTTAACCTTCAAGATAGGAATCTAACGTAGACAGGTGTAATATTGAAGGAATCGAGACTTCTCATACAGTCTCAGTTACGATGGACTGGTCATGTCTTGAGAATGTCTGGTGACAGGATACCCAAGATACTAATATGCAGCCAGTTAGAGCAGGGCTACAGGAATATAGTACGTCCATGGCTTAGATACAAAGACAAGCTGAAGAGCAACTTGTCAGCTGTCAATAGACATCATAACACCCTCGGGCGCTTAGCCTTGTAACGGTTAGAATGGAGATTAGTAGACTCGGCAGTTTTCATCAGCTTGTCTGAATCGTCTTCAAGAAGCGTGAGCAAGATCTAAAAGGTCAGTCAATCTAACAGTGATGTCATTTCACAATCCTCACTCTTGCTCCATATGCGGCCTCGTTTGTAAATCACTTGCGGGTCTTAAGTGCCTCTTAAGATTATCGCACAAAATTTCACAAATGAATCAATTAAGCAGTCAGATCCTCATACGTCAGAAACCGACGGAGAGTCCATTATATATATATATATATATATATATATATATATATATATATATATATATATTCAAAAATTTAACATAAACATGTTAAACATCACTTCATTTTTTTTTTTTAACATTTCCAAAAATTATCGTAATTTACTTTAAATAAGACAAATAATTATTATACGTAGTTAAAAAATCTGAGACATGATGATTTATTACAAACTTTATTATGACAAAAAAAAAAATTTATGAAAAAATTTTTATTTGTCAAAATGTCCTTGGTTTTAATAGATTCCTGCAGTAAAAATTATTTGGCATTCGTTGCAAAAAATTTCTAAAGTAATTTTGTAATTGAAATTGTATTAAAATTCAATGATTCTATCATATTAAATTAGGACTGTATGGATGATATACAAATATCTATAAAGAATAATTTAAAGAAGGATGGAGGCAGCATAAGTGTTCTTTAAAACAATATAAATAAAAATCTGTTTACATCTCTATCTAAATATTTTTGGCATTTAGATAAGGAAATGAATAAAACACCAAAAGTAAAATGGAAAATTATAAACAAAACTAAAACTTGTAAAACTTGGGATGACCCAGGCCCTTTTATGCCTACATTTAAAAAGAACACATTATTAAAAATTCTAAATAATAAAAATTTATTAAACAATAGACATGAGTTAACGGTTTTTTCTTGACATCATCAAATTTTTTTGCATTGAATAATTAGCATAAAAAATAAACAATAAAATAATTTTTAAAATATATATATATATAATAAAAAGTTTAAATATATATACCAAAAAGAAAAAAAACCCTATGAAGTCGTCAAAAAACAAATGTTAGTTTACGACAGTTTTATATAAATGTCAGAAAACCCTTTCAGAAAAAAATAAAATAAATAAAATAAAAAAATAAATAAATGTCCATAGACACTTAAACCAGACTAGACGATGTCATCTTCCGTTTTAAATTTAGACACCCCAACCTTTACCCTGACTTGACATCTTTGAATGTAACTTTATATTGATACAAATTATTAACATCTTACGCCCCTTTTTTTAAACAATTGCTCTAGCCGTTACCATAGAAATTTTGATTTTAATAATGAATATGCTTATAAAACACGTAAATTTCAGATTTAAGTTATTCAAAAAAAAAAATCGCTTGAAGATGGAACATGAGCTTACTACTTTAATTCAATTTAATTCAAATAATTATATTGAAGTTTTCTGCTCTTGTTTTGAAACATGAGAACTCTTATGTAGCGTGTTGGAATCATATTTTTTGAATAAATAATATATATATATATATATATATATATATATATATATATATATATATATATATTGGTGACATGCTCAGTGAATTCTGAAACTAAGTATTCAGTACTTTTTTTTCAAATAGACGCCATTATCTTGAATGTCTTTGCATCCTTATGAAGAACCAACATTTCTTACCTTTACCTGTGAAAACTTTACGAATTTCTCGACCACATGGCGAAATTTTGCATAGAGGTCAGAAACGACATTTCCTCGAAATAAAAAAAGTTTCTTTTTATGGCTCGATTTTCAAATCTTCTTTTGCTATTTAATGTATGGCAGAAATCAAGCAATTTTAAAAATTTCATTAAAAATAATTTATTTGTTTACAAAAATTTTTTTAATTCATACTTTTAAATTTATTCCATTTAGAAAATATAATAAAAATGACATGTCTAATTTTTAATAAAATAAAATTTGAAAATTACACAGTTATTTTATTGAACATCTACATTTTATATTTTATTTTAGTAATAGATTTAAATGGAAGGGAAAGAAGGCTTGCTCAAAATATTTTATTTTTGAATAGATACATAGATCTGGAAAAAATGACAGGCAGTCACCTATATAAATATAGTTATACAGGTAAATCAATAGAAAGACAAATTAAAAGAAAGAAGAATAAATAGAAAAAATTCTGTTTGCTAAATGATAAAATTCAACAGACATAGATAGATCGATAGATAGATATTGAAAATATATATATTGTACATTTAGATCATTAGGTATATATTTAAAATATTCATTTGTTGTTGCTTCTTTTCATATTGAAAATGATAGATTTGATTCTCTTTTGATATCGCTATTCTTATTGATAGATCCAGATAAGATGATAAAAATGAGAACAAAAATCTGATCAGGAGATAGATAAGATAGATTACCATTCTTAGATAGATCGATATTCCCATTCCAGATAGATATTGGGTGGTAGAGATAGATAGATATTGAAAATAGAAATAGTTAAATAGATGTTGAAAATAGAGATAGATAGAAAAATATTTCAATAGAGATAGATATTGAAAATAGAGATATATAGATATTGAAAATAAAGATAGATATTGGAAAATTTTGAGATAGAAAAGATAAAATAGATAGATAGATATATAGATACATTTTGAATAAAAAAATTACTACCAGCAATATTTTTTTGAAGGAAAAATATTCCCAGAAATATATAGATAGATGAAAAAATGAAAATTTTGACAAAACAAAGATTACCATTTTTGAAATCACAGAAATGATAGATAGATGGATTTTGAAAACCAAATAGATATTGAAAAATGATAGATAGATAATATTATGCTTTAGATAGATATTGAAAATAGAGATTGATAGATATTGTAAATATTGATTTGATTCTTTTTTTCCATCATAGATAGATAGATATTGTAAATTATAGATAGATATTGAAAATGGAGGGATAAATATTTTTTGATTTATAATATCCAAAATATAGATAGATAGATAAATATTGAAATATTTATTGTCAATAGAGATAGATATTGAAAATAGAGATAGATAGATATTGAAAATAAAGATAGATATTGAAAATAGAAATAGATATTGAAAAGATAGATAGATAGATAGATAGATAGATAGATATTGAAAATAGAGAGATATGGATAAATACTATTTAAAAAATAGATAGATAGATTTTAGATAATAGATAGATAGATAGATAGATATTTTATTGAAAATAAGAGATATTTTAATTTGATATAAATAGAATTATATATCAGATTTAATAAAAATTTTTAATTTTAAACCAATTCACCCGTGGTGATTTTATAATATAAACATTCAACCCTGCTCCAGGCGAGCTCTCGACTCTCTGCTTGACAGTGTTTAGAGTAATCCGAATATTTTGACAGAGATTGGTAAGAGTTTCAAAATCGATATCTCAACTATCATTTGAACCCCCATTGTATTCTCCAGGCTTAGTTTCTCCGGATTTTCATTTCTTCCTTATGTCCCATATGACAATTTAAATGACAAATAATTTAACTCTTATCCTCAGTCAGTTTTTTGTCTCGAAAATGTATTAACAAGTTTCTGCCAAAAAAAGAAACACGATGTTTCAAAAAAAATGTTGCAAAAATAACAAAATTTGCAGACACAGGAAAAGAAAGGTAAAAGAGTCCAATAGGTTCCCATCATTTAAAAAAAAAAATAAAATTCTTGACCTGCTCTACAATAAATAAAAAAGCCCAAAAACGACCAGCTGAATGAGCGTACCATGTTTTTTATACACTTGACCCAGCCAACACTCAGCCAATGAGCGCCCAGAACCAGCCAATAAAAATATACAAGGGACACCACAACCTCCATCTCATTGAAAGTGCATCCGATTCACCGTCCTATAAATATATAAAGTCGATTTGCCGTCTCAAATCCCCTTAATAAATATACATTTGAATCTGAGTCTTTTGAGTCGTCCAGTTAAGTATATACTAAAAAAAATTATCAATGACAAGCACGTAAAACGATGGCATACAGTTGATAAAATCAATGGCGTCTTGTACTTGACTAATAATTTTTGATTTTTGATTTTGTGAGTATGTAAAATTTTGCTTTTAATTTTCTCATTAGAAACATTTGCAATGATCTAAGTCAAGGGTCGGCAACCGCCGGATCCGGCCCGCGAAGGCATTTTGACCGGCCCGCGAGCCTGATTACCAATGACTCTATTTTTAGCATGAGAGAGGACCTTCAAATGAAATTTGTTATATGTCATTTTCCATAGAATGTCTACACATCTCAGTGCACTAAAAATATTAGACTATCTTTCATGAGACTTATTTTACCAAGTTGCGTTGCTTACGTTTAATGTCAAATAATGGATACATATTTGTTATGACCCTTGGCTACATTAAAAGATAACAGAAGCGAAAGGAACGATAAAGTGAAAGAGGCCAGGGAGGGACTGACATGTGAGGTAGCAGAAATCTAAAGACAGTTAAACATACGCGCATTTTCCAAACATGCCTCATGAATGTGTGGATGATACCGCATGTGTACGTACGTAAGTGTATATGTTTGCAACTATTTGTACTCGTATGTATGGGTATTCGTTTTGTTTGTTTGATGTGTTTTGTTGTGTGTGTGTGTGTGTGTGTGTGTGTGTGTGTGGTTCGTTTGTGGAACAATTTTCAATAACAGTTTCAAACCTATACATCATAATTTCATCCAATTTTACTTCGGTTGATTTTTTTCACTTTGAAGTATTTTGACGTTCCTTGAGGAAAAGTAATTTTTGTTAGGTGTTTTTTTTTAATTTTAGATTTTCTTTTGTTTTTCTAATTTCTCAATGTTTATTTTCATTATGGTTTTAAATATTTAGGTTGACAGGGGTCTGCATCTGTAATTTTCCTTAATTTTTCATTAATGGCCTTCGTCCGGCCCGCGACCCGTCATTATAACACGATTATGATAATACGTTTGTCATTAATCAGTTTTCAAAAAAAGGGACTTAATTATGACTTACCTATAGTTATATCGTAATTACAGGCATTTAGTTATATGGGAAGAGTTTTAACAGACGACTGAACATGTGATATCTAAATGCGAAGCGGCGTTGTATTAAGTTACTAAGACTGATCGGTTCGATAAGGTCAAATTGGCAGCGGAGGTCAAAAATCACCTAAAATTTGTTGTTAACTGGTGCAAGAAATGGCTTGTTAATTTTAGCGCCTCCAAAGCAAAACTGCTCTCTATTAATCATCTGAAAGACCCATTTTTGCCTTCTATCAGCATGGCTGATGATAAACTCCAAGGGAGCTTTTAAGGTTTAAGGTTTTCCGCTGACATAAACTTGAAAGAGTACATTGAATCAATGCGTAGGTCTGCTGATAGGTAAGTTGATTCACTGCGTCATGCAAGATAATTTTACTCGCCCGAATCTGCCTTACATAGTTATAAGTCTACCATTCGTCCTTGCTGCAATATTTGGTCTGGTGCTCCTACTGTTTATTTAGAGATTCTTGATAAAATCTTAAGAAGAATCTGCAACTTTATTGGCCTTGACTTGGCATCTCGGCTTCAGTCACCTTACTATCGCCATAATGTAGCTTCCGTGTGGCTTTTCTGTAAATAGTTTCATGGTAATTGTTCTGATGAACGTTCCTCTACAAATTGTACACATGGAAACTAGTTAGGCCCTCATAGAGACTATGTGGTATTATGGTGGCTGTAGTAAAAAAAATTAAATAAAAGTGTGTTTTTTTTGTTTTTTTTTTTGGCGTAAGGAATACTGTGGTATAAATATTGGTCAATAATTGTGGATAGCTAAATTGAACATAAGACAGATTGAAAACTAGCATTCTCCCCCATCCCTCCTCTTGACCTTGTGCCACATTTTTGTATTTTCAAAATAAATATTAATTTCCGCTGTGGTACCTAGACATTATGATTTTTATCGTAGTACTAAATTGGCGGCAAGGTTTCATCATTTTATAGCTGAAATGACTAGATACAACCGTAAGTTCTATGCTAACAGTTTCTTCTCTTACGCTTCTCGCTTGTGCAATTCTCTTCTGGCTTCTTGCTTTCCAGTCAACTTTGATCTTTAAAAGTTTAAATGCAATGTCATACTTTATCTTCCGTCTTCTTAATTCCTCTTCATTTTTTGTTTTCACTCCTTAATAATGCTTTCCTTTTCTTATATTATTGCACACTCAGTAACCCCTTGTGGCTTAGGAGCTTTGCTGCTTTACCTGGGGTGAATAAAAAGGAAAGCAAACGAAGCATTAAGAGGTCTATTTAGACTGAGGTAAAAAACATAGTTTATTTAAGAAAGAATTTAGAATAACCCGGGATATTTATCTGGATTGTGATCTACTGTCTTTTGCGTTACACGTTTAGGTTACATATTTATTCTAAGCTGCTACGTGTGATTATTAGTTTAGATTCGCAAAATTTCGAAATGTTTCTCTGTGTTATACTTGCTCTATGTGTTTTTTTTTAAATAACTTTCGACGCAGTAAAAGTGGGGGTGACCCAGAAGAGAGCAGTAACAACCTGGTAAGGGTTGCAAAAGGAGACCTCCTCTTGCGACCCGCTCCAACTAGGTCTAGTAACTGAGAAGAAAAAAAACAGTAATAATCTTTCAGAACGACAATTAACCAGTAACGCGTCGGCTGGTAGAGCAAAAAAAAAAGTTTGGTGAGAGTACGGAGGACGATTTTTATAAGGAGGCTAACCGCTTCCCACAATCCTCATCCTAACAAAACCATAAGTATCAATTGGTCACTTGCTTCCGGTTTAGCTGGGCACAATTCCCCCGAGGCTGAAGCAACCCGTCCGTAAGTACCCCCCACCCTCTCTCTCTCTTCCTCTTTCCTTTTCTTCATAGTTTGTTTTTCAAGGCGGTGTAGAGCATTTTTCTTATTGGCTAGCTTGGGGCACTTTACAACCAAACTTTAATGGACACGTTACAGCTGCTGGGCGTATAATATGTGCATTTATATTTTCATTGCGTTTTAAGAACCGTAAATGACTGATCACCTGAGGATCCTACAACATTACCTTTCTTGCTTGGAGACTTTTGAGGTCAATTTTGCAAATTTATCCGTGTAGGCTTTTGCTTTTAAAAATGTCTTATGTTAACGCACACCAAATGTCATACGATAAGGTACTTCAATACAGCAATATTTATATGTTAACATACTCCAACTATTATATGTTAAAGTTCTCTAATTGCCATATGTTAACATAGTCCAATTGTCGCATGTTAACAAACTCTGTCGCATATTAACATATGACAATTGGAGTATGTTAACGTTCTTTAATTGCTATATGTTAATATGCTCCAACTATCATATGTCGACCTTCTACAATTGTCATATGTTAACCTACAGCAATTGTTATATGCTAATATACCCCAACTATCATATATTAACGTTCCCCAATTGTCATATTTTAACACATGACAATTTAAGTATGTTAAAGTTCTCCAATTGTCATGTATTAACATACTAAAATTGTCATATGCTAACGTGCTCCAATTGTCATGTATTAACATACTACAATTGTCACATGTTAACGTTCTCCAATTGTCATGTATTAACATACTACAATTGTCATATGCTAACGTTCTCCAATTGTCATGTATTAACATATTACAATTGTCATATGTTAACGTATTCCAATTGTCATGTATTAATATACTACAATTGTCATATGTTAACGTGCTCCAATTGTCATGTATTAACATACTACAATTGTCACATGTTAACGTGCTCCAATTGTCATGTATTAACATACTACAATTGTCATATGCTAACGATCTCCAATTGTCATGTATTAACATATTACAATTGTCATATGTTAACGTATTCCAATTGTCATGTATTAATATACTACAATTGTCATATGTTAACCAACAGCAATTGTTATATGCTAATACACTTCACCTATCATGTATTAAGGCTGTCATATTTCAACACTTGACAACTGAAGTGTCTTAACCTTCTCCAAATTTCATATTTTAACGAACTCCAAATTTATTTTTAACTGATATGTGTCATTAGTAGTTAGGGTGATACGTTTTTTACGGAAATTAAACGTTGACTCAACCTAATAAAATAAAAGATGGCTACTAGACATTGAGAAACAAAATAAAAGGGATCACCTTTCCAATGTAATTTCAGAGCAAGATTAAGCCAGGGCTGGTGATGTAGCATCCTATTATAATCGTGATTGTCCCTTCCTTCGTTAAGTTCGCACGACCGTTACGCCCTGTCAATATCAGATACATAATGAACTATTCCTTGGTGATCGAGTGGAAAGAAACGAAAAGATACTACCGCCAGGTGTATAAATATCCGTTTATTGCTTCATTTCTATCAATCTATTTAACTTAGTCTGTTCACTATCTATCTACCTATCTGTCTCAGTCTGCTCATTATCTATCTATCTATCTATCTATCTATCTATCTATCTATCTATCTATCTATTCCAGTAAGTTCATTATCTATCTATCTATCTTAGTCTGTTCACTATCTATCTACCTATCTATCTCAGTCTGCTCATTATTATCTATCTATCTATCTATCTATCTATCTATCTATCTATCTATCTATTCCAGTAAGTTCATTATCTATCTATCTATCTTAGTCTGTTCACTATCTATCCATCTTTTTTTTCTAAGCATTTCACTCCAAGCAAGGCGGGAAGCCACAAGGACGCAAGGGGTTACAGAAAATTTAGAGCAAGATCAGATAGGAGTGATAGAAGAAAGGATGAGGGTACTGGATAGATCAAGGCAACTGGAGATGTCGATTGACATTACATTTGAATAGCTGGAGATTATAGCTCACAGGGAAACAGAAAAAGGGAAGGGAGTTCCACAGGCGAGAGGTGCGAGACATGAAGCTATTGGAGTAGAAGAGACGGCTACATTTAGGAGTTTCGACAGTGAAATGGTGAGAGCGGGATGCCATCCTCGTAGGGCGCTGGAACTCATGACGTCTGGGAACCAGCGAATGCAGCTCCTCGGAGCAATTGCCATTAAAGTATCTATCTGTCTATCTACATCTGTTCCTATCTATCTATCTATCTATCTATCTATCTATCTATCTATCTATCTATCTATCTCTGTTCCTATCTATCTATCTATCTATCTATCTATCTATCTATTTCTGCTCCTATCTATCTGTTTCTGTTCCTATCTATCTATCTATCTATCTATCTATCTTTCTATCTATCCATTATATGTTAATTTATTCCATTTAAGTGCCACGTATGATTAGTAATTAGGATGATACCTTCGTCATTACAACTGGTATCCGAAAAACGGAAATTACTTATAGCCTAATCTATCTATCTATGGTTATTCACTCCATTTAACTGCTACGTAAGATCAGCACTCAGGATGATCCATTCGTCATTATAATTGGTTCCCCAATACGGAAATTAGAAAAGCCATTCGTTTAATTTGTGTTCTTTTTCTTTTTTCCTTTTTCAAAACGAACATTTTTGTTTCTTTTCTTTTTACAGCTTCAAAATATTCTCAATTTGAATAAGCGTCCCATATCCTTTACTGCTTGCAAGATTGAAAGATTTAGGTAAGCCGATTACAAAAGGATTATCAGTTGAATTTGTAATACAAAACAAAACGGATCCCTACTTCAAAGATCATTTCTTCTTCTTCTTCTTTCATCTTACTTTGACCTTATACGACTTTTGTACGAAAAGTATTAAGCCGTTTAATATTAACAGAAAAATATCACACCAGGAGCAATTAGTCTCTGCAAAATTACTTTCCTTGGGACCTCAATCAGTTTACGGCTATATTACGTTGCACATTGTTTAATTCGACATATTGGTATTTCTCGAATATTCAGGCCAGTTGGATAAAAAAAATACTATTAAAAAGCAGAGCTTCAACTTGCATATGAGTATCCATCCAAAATAACATTTAAACAAAATAAATTAAAAATGACATATATATATATATATATATATATATATATATATATATATAGAGAGAGAAGAGAGAGAGATATGTATCTATCTATCTATCTATATATATATATATATATTATAATATAACATATATATATGCGTGTGTGTGTGCGCATACATCTGTATGTATGTGTGTCTATTCGTATGAAAGTGTCACCCCAACCAAACACAGAAGCATATTCCCCCTCCCACCACGAAATATAATCAAAAAAGCATAAATAGATCCAATTTTTTTAAAATAAACCAGTTTGTCTGATGATCGCAAAAGCGTGAACCCCAGGGTCACAAATTCATATCCATACAATTGAATATATATATATATATATATATATATATATATATATATATATATATTCAAACATGTTTGATTGAATAATATAGAAATATTGTGTCTACGTATTTTATATTGATTCTTTTACAGTTGTTTTATCAGTTTCTTGATGTTAACATGAAATTCATCAAGGGAAGCGCCATAGTTTTTTCTAACCCATGTACTTTTGATCGTTTCCAAGATAATCTTCAGAGGTAAATTACAAAGATAAACTTATTGTAACTGCCATAAAATCTGCATTCCGTTGTGATAGCGATTTTTAAAAGAAAAACGCGCAAACGCTCTGTTGTTTTAGAATTGTAAATTTATCCGATCTAGTTAATTTTTTTGGCAAAACAAGCGTTTCAATATAAGGGAACTGATCGGGAATTCGTAGAAATGTAAAATGGCATTAAATGTTATATGCACTTTAATATGTTGTGGCTATATTCATAATAAATTTTGTTGAGTCTTGGTTGGTTGATTTTGATATAGAGAGCCTCAAGAAGATGACCTTAGAAAAACTAAGGCGTCTTCCTGGATGAATTTCATCTCAGCATCAAGAACGTAGAACTGGAAAGGATCAGTATAAAAATAAGTAGAATTCGATCTGTCCAATATTTATTATAAACGTAAATGAATGTAATGGATTTAACTGAAATTAATATATAACCTATATATTAAATATATATATATATATATATATATATATATATAATATATATTTTTCGTGGATTAATAACTTTTCAAATTCTCACTTGATCAATTTAAACAAAATTTTTCTAAAGTTGTCAGAACATCGCACGACAAAAAAAATTCAACTGTCAATAAATAGCATAATTAAAAAAAAAAAAAAATCTTTCGCTCTGCACATTTTTGTTTAATGCCTGTTTACACTTGTATGGGAAAATTGTTCACTGAAGATGACAAAAAATTTGTAAAAGTAAGAAAATGTGTCTTCCATTGTGACAACTCGAATATAAGGATCTTATTAAAAGGAATTGAAAGTTGAGTTAATACCTCTTTTTAAAATTTTTTTTTTTCATTTAACATATTAATCATTTTAACATTGCTATTTAATTCTGAGATGCTATAAATTTTCTTTATAAAGAAATATATATATATATATATATATTATTTTAATATATATATATTGTTTATATCGTTATTTTTTAGTGCATTTCATAATATATATATATAAATATACGTCAAAACATATATATATATATATATATATATATATATATAAATATATAATAAATATACGTTTTTATAAATATATCTAATGAATATAAATAATTATATATATATATATATATATAATATACGTCAAAATCATATATATAATAAATATGCTAAATATATATATATATATAATAAATATATATGATATATATATATATATATATATATATATATATAAAAATTATAAATTATATATATATATATATATATATATATATATATATATATATATATATATAAAGAAAATCAGTAAAATATATAATCCGGTTCTAAATTCTTATAGATATTTTTAAAATTAAAATAGTTTTTCTAAATTTATTTTTTTAATTT